TAATCTCTCTGTATTTCGATCTTTTCGTTAGCGGGTTTGGTTTTATTTTTGTCAATTGCCCTTTTTTAGATAGTGTTTGGCCTACTTGTCGTGTACCGCGACTAATTTAATGAATAGATTGAAGGAGATCACCTAAAGTTTTTGTTGTTTTGGGATTTGGATTTGGATTTTGATCTCTCGTGGTCAATTTTGAGTTTCATTGTTGTTAGGGCATATGTTTGGGGGTTGTCAAGTGCCAATTATCTGATTAAATTACGTTTATATCCGTGCAAATTTCGATAGTAAACTCATCGAGGGGGCAGAGTTATCTGGTAATTGGGTTGGTGGGAGATATCAGGTATGAGGTGGAATAGCTGAGGTGTGTAAGCTGGCATGGGCGCCACTGTCATTGAAAAAAAGAAGAGAAAAAAGCAGCCAAGGGTGTGTTCTAGTGGTTGAAGTGAGGTCTCGGGTTAAGTTCCTAACAGATACAAAAACACTAGGTGATTTCTTCTCATTCATTGCTGGCTGGTAGGAGGTAGTGGAGGTGCGTGCAAGCTGGTCAGGACACCACATGTATTAAAAATAAAATATTGAGAAGAAATCTAATTTGTCTTAAAAAAGATCAGTTATTAATATTGGAATGATTTTCACCTGAATTGAGGCAGAGTAGATACAAGATTAATAAACTAATTTGTCATTGAAGTGTAAAAAATTGGTATTGGATTTAATGGGATCAATCAAACATGTTTAATTTACTCTGTGATGCCAACATCTGTATTTTCTGGTGGGCAGAATTTAGTTGTTAATCTTGTCTCCCATACTTGTATCTAATGTGGTTCTGATAAAGCCTCTAGTTTTTTCACGGGAAATTTCGTTTTCCTTGGAGTTGTCCAAGAAGTCAAATTACTAAGTATTGGAATGAAATGGCGAGAATAGAGCAGAATAAATATAAAGGATTTATATAGCTGAGTACAGCTAGTTTAGGATTAAGTGAGGGAGCTAACATGAAAAAAAATTAGAGTTGTGTGTTGAAAGAGAGAAAGTAGTATGCAATACTACTAGAGCCATCCATTAGTCACTTTAAATGTCTTTTCCGGTTGATATTTGATAAGATGATAGGCTACCCTACAGTTTGATAATTACAAGAAGTAGTAAATTTAAATCAAAGCAACTTCGTTAAACATACTGTGTAGCTATTATTTCTAGCAGCTGATACCGAGCAATTTCTTACATCCTTTTTTTTTATAGATTAATAATTAGGTAGATAGAATTTCATATTTTTGCTAAAGTTATTGTTTACAATAATAGTTGCTATGTATTTATTTGGTCAGTTTAATTAGATATATTTAAAGGCTATCTAACATGTTATTGGTTTGTCACAGTAGATATGTATTTGAAATGATAAATTGTTGTATTCACAGAAACAATTTACTCTCGACCAACTCATTTTTTCTACTTTTTACTTTCTTTCGAGTATTATTGACTTGACATTTGTTTCCACGGCAGGTAGTAGCCCACCTCCAAAACCCTGGGAACGAGCTGGTTCTTCTTCAGGCCCTGCACCTTTTAAGCCCCCCTCTGCTGGTAGCACGAGTGACGTAGTAGAGGCATCTGGAACAGCCAGGCCTGGTGAGATTGTTTCAACTGCTAATAGGAATACAGCTGTTAATAATAGCACACTTGCAAGGCCTGTACCTACTCGACCTTGGGAGCAGCAGCAAACTTACGGTAGCTCATACGGAGGTATGAGATGTTTAGTTAATTTTCCCTCTTGCTCTTTTTTGTGCCTGTTCTGTTTTATCAGCAAGAGGGTTGGCTGTCTGAAATCCATTATTACAAACATGTCTGTTGATGCCTTTTTCACTAGCACAGCTGCTTTGTGGTTTGTAAATAACTATTTGTATTCTTTTACATCCTTAAGGTTCACTCTTGATATTATAAATACTAGCAACCTTGCATTAAAAGCCTCTTTTGGTTAGTATAACAACTAATTTATCCTTAAGGTCCACTTGTTTGTTCTGAATGTTTGTCCCCTAGCATCAAAAGGTTGGTTATTGAGTGATGTGTATTATGATATCTGCTTTTTGGAGTGCATGCATATGATTTTTCAGGATTATAATGCAATACATGATATGTAATCATGCACGCCATCATTAACTAGGCAAGTTCTTCCTAAATATATTCCGATTTTATCATACTGTTTGATTCTCTTTCATACATTATAAGTATGCCCAGTGCCCTTTTTTAAAATTCTTTTAAAAAAAAGAATTACTAGGGTGTCTAAGTTTGTACTCCAGCTATACATTCCTCTTTTGGAACTCATCTTAGTTAATGCACCTATTAAATCTGACTTAACCTCTGATTGAATGTTTCATTGAACTGTTATGCGATCTGCTAGTCAGTATACCTTCTCTTCTTATGTGTCCATTCGTAGGAATCAAGCGCTACTTGATTTTAATTCATTTGCAACCCAATTCCTACTTTATTTATACTTTGTCCTCTGTAAGTATGAATGGCATCTGTGTGTTTACCGAGCCAAATCAAAATGTTGTTATGGACATACTCTTTTCGTTTCCTCTTATGGTGAAGAAACTTTCTCAATCATTGAAAGTTTTGATCCAGTAATTGAAGTTAGTTATTGCAATTGAAGTCCTTTTTTATAGAGTACCCAATCTCATTATTTGCTTGATTGGGTCATTATGCAGGTATTAATACAGGTATGAATTATAATTCTGGATATGGAACTGGAACATATGGTTCTTATGGTGGTGGCTATGGAAGCGGAAGCACATACGGAAGTGGTTTGTATGGAAACAGTATGTACAGAGGAGGTTATGGTGGACTTGCAGGCGGTGGCATGTATGGTGGAGGAATGTACAATAGTGGGTATGGTGGCTCAATGGGAGGTTATGGCATGGGCGGTATGGGTGGTATGGGCGGCATGGGCATGGGACCCTATGGGGACCAAGATCCAAATAATCCATATGGTGCTCCACCTTCTCCACCAGGCTTTTGGGTCTCCTTCATGCATGTGGTAAGCTCTAACAGTACCAAATAAATTTATTTCTGTTCTATACTTATATTCGGGGACCCTAAAGTGAATTTGATGTGTACAAGTCCCTCATTTGCCCTGCACTTCCAGTACAAACTGTGCTGGCCTTCTTTTTGAATTTTTGTTTTCGGATTGGTCAACAGTCTAAAATTAGCCCAAGTGAATTGGTAATAGAGCAAGGCCTCCATAATACAGAGAGAGAGAATCACATAGGAAAGGGGAGAAATGTAAGGAGATTTATTGTGAAATCTCAAAAGCTTCTTGCAGCTCACTGGTTTCTGTGATGAGATACTTTTAGTTTATGAAAAAAAGAATTATAGGTAGATCCCAATGTTTTTGATAATAACATCCTCCCTAAGTTTAACTTGATATGAAAAATAGATCCTCCCAAAGCTTTTATAAATTGTGATATCTCTCTTTTTTGACGCTAATGGTTTTCTAGCCTGCAATTAGTAGGTTTGTCGATACGTATCTAAGAACTTGCAGGCCTCTTTGAATCAACAAAAAGTTCAAGGAGATGCAAATGAAAGTTACATATGGTATTTTAGTCTATACTCTATAGACATCATTAATGCCTTCTGTCCGTTGATAATTAATTGTTTTATATTATGTTACTTAATGGTGGCAGATGCAAGGCGTTGTAACTTTCTTTGGCCGCGTTGCAATGTTGATAGACCAGAATACCCAGGCATTTCACATGTTCATGTCGGCACTCCTTCAGGTATATGTTCACTTATTTATCCCTTGCATCCAAATAGTTCTTGAACAACCAATACCTCCTTAACTACCTTATGGAGTTCTGTATTTGCTACCCAAATACTCTGTGGAAAAGTATATAGGATGGTGACATGATAATTCATTAACATATTTTTTACAGCTGTTTGATCGCTCAGGGTTATTATATGGAGAGCTGGCAAGATTTGTGCTGAGATTGCTGGGGGTCAAAATAAAGGCCAATAAAATTCATCCCCCAGGCGCTAATGCACCTCATGGCCCTAATGCACTTCCTGGTCCTCACCAACCTCGTGGTAATCAGAACTTTATCGAGGGGCCTAAGGCTGCTCCAGGTGCTGCATGGAACGATGTGTGGGGTGATAATGCACAGTGATATAGAGTAGTGACTTACAAATGTCACCTACCATCGGAAGCCGTTGACAACAAGTTGCAGTTTGTTGAAAGCTACAGTATAGATAAGAGCTATGCTGGTGTACTCGTATGTAAAGCCAATCAGCTTACCGTGCTGGATTGATTTGCTGCATTTAAATGAATAATAATCTCGACTCCCCCTCCCTCCCCACCCCCTTCCCCTGCCATATTTGTGTGGGATTGTATAGATCAATGTGCACGTCAGTTTTGGAGACTGAACAACGTCGTTCTAGAAATGATGTGGTATGATTTCCATTGATTGGCGATAAGATGTTTCATTGTTACATCATTTGTGTAAATTCACCAAATGCGAAGTTCTCAATTTATTTGACGAATATCTTATTTGTTATACGTAGACCTTCATGCAGCAGCTCAGACAATTTTTTTTTACATGGATGCACAATACTCAAACGCAGAGTAGAATTCTTTCATGTTAGAGTAGTAGAAAGATAAAACGGATCTAAATTGAATAATAGAGGGGTAACAATGGACTCAAATATGGGAAGAGGAAAAATTTCACATGAAAAAGTAGTTCACCTTTTTTCCACCTTGTACATTAGTCAGTAGAGAAGTGTTATTTTGGACCTTCAAGTAATATGAGGAGTTTTTTTGACCCGGTAGTAAAATGGAGGACAGCATTGAGCTTTACCTAACAGGCAAATTTGACCTTTTCTTTCATTTATGTATTTAGTATTAGTACTCTCTTTGTTCCGTATTAGTTGATCACTTTCATTTTGCACATTACTTAAGAAATCATAAATAAGAAGATAATTATACTAATTATAACATTCCCTACTATTCTTCTATACCAATCCTTCCATTTATCATGCATCAAACAATTGTTCTGCATTGTGGCCTACATGCCACATGAAGAGCTACACCTCTGAGTGTGGGTTCTGCAATTTGCACCAAGCAACTGTTTCATTTGTATGTACATGCATTTATTAGAATCACTTTTTTTCTTATGGGAAGAAAACATTACAAGAAATTATACGCAGCTTGATACTAGTGTGCAGTGGGCACAACTGTCGTGCATTTCCATCAAGTTGGACAGGAAACAATGTTTCCAGTGGTGGACGGGTGAGTAACACGTCAGTTCCAGGGAATCCGAATTGGATTGACTGGGATGATAGTTTCTCCTCACGAGTCTGTAAAATCAGAATGTCTGCTGAGACCTGACAGCTTAAGAACTGAAGATTATCGCCACCTATTAAAACCTGAACGCTCAATGAGGGCAAATACACATTACTTCTTCTTTGACCTCTACATTACCTCTAGCAAGTTTAAAAATTTCCAACGCTACACCACTGATCTGAGAACTTCTGGTGATGTAAAGAATTGAGAGACGTTTGCATCCGTTTCTCAATGCCTGCAGTCCACGGTCACAAAGATTTCTACACCGATTCACATGTAGTGTTTTCAAGTTATGACAATGTGATGCAATAGATTCCCAAACCTGCTATCTTGACCTCATGACATATTGCTAAGTTCCATTCCTGAAGCGATGGACAACCCTTTGCTATTGTCATAATACAATCATCGCCAATCGTTCTGCTGGAGCGGAAATTCAACACTCTTAACTTTGCAGCAAATCCGACGCTAATAGCTACCAGACCATTCACACGAGTGCACCAGGTCAAGTTAGACACACTCAAGTATTCAATACCACCTCCACTTAGGATACTCCGTATTCCATTAGGTTCAAGCCTACAGTAATTGGCTTCCAAATGAGTCATATTAACCAGCAATTTGACTTGGTCAATATATCATGAATTTATGGATTAATCCAAAATTTAATATGAATTTATCAATAAAATTTCACTGTCTACAGTTATAACGTTGAAGTAACTCATGTCATACTTCAAGAAAAAGCCTGAACTACTTTGAGCAACAAGGTAATTACACCTGAACTTAACACAAGCTAATAAATAGATAATACCAAAGGGCATGAGACAACTCTCTTTGACTAACTCGACAAAATTATCCCCCAACTTTGAAAGAGGAGGTCCTCATTAAAGGGGTTGTAGTGACCAAGCATAGAGGAATGTTTATCGAAAATATAGATTCACGCAAAATCGTAAAAACATGTGTGGAAATAATGTCAATCTAGTGTCGAAAGGTTAAGAAAGTTGGTGACCTAATGATAGATGAGACGATGAACAACAACCTAACTATAAAGGTCCTAAGTTAGAATTTTTTTGCCAGATAACATTCGAGCCGTACAAAAGGTGTTATGATATGAACATTGTCTCAGTGAAATGAATATGTTTGTGAAAATTGTTGACACCCAATTTTGACCCTTCTTTCTTCTATTTCATTGTTTCGAGCTTCTAATTTAATAATGTATCAAATTATCATTTTTCACAACTATTTTTACTACTACATTTATTTATCTACTAAAATTATATATTTATTATCGAAATTACCATTATCACTTTTTCACCTTTTCTTTAAAAGTTGTTTGTCATCATTATGTTTCACGTCAATATTTTGCATTTGTAATTTATATTAGCGTAAAATCGTAATATTGATATTTTTTTTTATTCATGTAAATTATTAGTTGTCATCTTATAACATTTTAAGTATTGGTTATTAAGTTAGAAGTCCAAAACAATTCAAAAGAAGAAAGAAAAAAGCCCAATATGTTCACACCAAGTAATCAGCCCATTTTCTTTTAAAATTTGGTTCGAAATCTAGCCTTTTGATGGCCCATTTTCGCCCAATTTCAGCAGCCCAAACCCCATCTCCCAAATAAACCCAATACGATTAGAAGCTAGGGTTTTCCTTTGGTGCTGCGCAGCTGGTCACTCTTTCCTCTTCCAGCAAACATTTGAGTACTTTCACCATTTGACAGACGTTGGTTGCACCATTCCCGTGCAAAGAATGCTTTATCAGATACGTCTCCATCTCCTCTTCCCTTTTTCATGATTATAGAATACCCATATCAAAAGCATAGTTAAAGCTCTTCCATTTCAAGTATCATCTGAAGCAAGTCTTGTTTTCTTCATCCAAATCACGTGAAGGATCAGAAAGTCGTCCAATATCTGTCAACGTTCGGATTCAAAGTAATGAAAAGATTCGAAAATCAAAAATCCCGCCCAAAAACACAACCCTAGCTCTAAATCGCCTATAAATACTCGCATTCGGGAAGAATTTTGGGCAGCTCATACTCTCATAAGTATTAATATTTGTTCTAATACATTTCATCTTTTCGCTCTCTGTCGGGATTCTTGTTTTGAGTGTGTTCAAGCTCGTCTTTGTTCGAGTGTAGACCTGTGATCGAAGCACCTTGTTCATTGCCCTGCAACAGGTAATACTCCCTTTTTTATCTCTGTTTTATCATCGTGATTAAATATACATTCTAAGAAATCTATATGCCCAGAGTGATTCTTGCTTAAGTTGGCTGTGATCAAAGTTATATGGAGAGTATTTTGTATTTTTTTTTGAGACATGTACAGATTTGGACTTGTTCTTATTTAGGTTGAGTTTATAATGTGGAAATCAGTTTATTTTGTTTTGTTTCAAGATTTACAACTTTTCTTTTTTTTGCTTTTTTTTAGTTTATCTTAAGCTTGAGAAAGATGTTATTGTTTTAATCTATTTCTAGTTGGTTTCAAAGTTGTCAGTTGCTAGACCCTTCTTATTCGACATTCAAATGTTATACGTTTTAGATGTTGTGAATGAAAGAATGGTTCCGTTTTAGTTTCACATGAAATCAGTTTTGGTTATTAGTTAATTTTCATTTGGTGTCTTTGTATTATAAAATTACAGCTCGTATATTGTTATGTAAAAGTATATCTAAAGGGTATAGCTTCTATTTTGGCATAATTAGAAATTAAGTGATAAGTGTTAGCATGTCATTATCTCACACTGCATATGATTTCCCTCATGTAGCTATATGTAAAACTTGAGCTTAAGCCTTCTTTTAACTCTCTGTTAGTGTATAATCGTTTTTTTGTTTCGTTTCTTCTTTTATTTAAAAAAAATAAAAAATATTATGTGTTGGCTATGTATAAAGAAATCAATATCAAAAGAGCCATGGTTGTAGCCTCATTGTTCACGTTATATGAGTGTAAATTTTTATTCTTTTATATTCTATTAGAGATATGCATGGAAGCTTGTTTGATATCATGAAGGCTATGAATTATTTCTTCCTAGTTGAATATGAAGAATTTGAGGTTTAGCTTATGTTCAATATATATATTTTATGATTTAGCTATTTTTTTTAGTTGGTTCAGAAGTCTTCAATAGCTAATGAGTATTTTATTTGATGCTTGCATATCTTGTGTTTGTAATAATATATACATTGTATAATTTTGCTTAGTTCTACATTTGATTTTCACTATCGTTTAAGGTCGAATCGTCTCACTAATCTCCTCTTTACTTTCTTTTTATTTACATGTACACTCGGGGCGCGTATGGAGTTGCAATATGACTCCACCTCTATCCAAATTAGAGAAGCGACCTATCTTGCATTTAGCTCGTGTCTAGAATGATTCACTCATTCCAAAAGAAAATCCCGCATTTCCTCCTTATCTCAAAGCTTTATATTTTTTATGCATACATATATGTTGTTATCTTTGACTAACATTTTACACTTCTTTTGGCACCTATATTTATGTTTCGTTTCAATTTATATTTGAACTTATGCAAACTAATTAACTAAGAACTTAAGCAAACCTAGTAGCTCACCTTCCCCTCCTCTAGATATTGGGTTTAATATATTAATTTGGCTTAGAACAATGACCTATAAATTAAGTTCTTTTGTTGCTTAACTCGCTTGTTAGTTTGAGAAAGTTTTGTTTTGCAAAGAAGTTGGACCCCTTTTTAATGAATATGTATGTTGCTTTAAACTGTACTTTTTCATAAACTAAGGTCTTAAATACAACTTTTCTAACACTTTCCACAAACCTTTGTTAAAATTAAAAACAAAAGTGTAAATATTTGAACTCTAAAGTGAGTTATTTTGAGAATGTAAAAGGGGCGATTTGTACGTCTTTTGTTTATATTTTAAAAATGTTAACTTTATAAAATGTTGATATGTCTAGAGCTTTAAAACACAACTCTTTTTGGGAATTATGAGTAGGTGAATTTGAAGATAAAAGGCTTTCAATTGGATAAAAACTTTTATTTTTTATCAAGGCAAAATATATTTCATTATCTTTAGCTTCAAGATTTCCTTGTTAATTCAATTTCATAAAAAGATTTTCTTTCTTAAACAAAAAGCATTTGACTTGGCCAGCTATTTTGAAGATAACAAATTATGCATATTTCATTCAAACTCCTTTTCTCGCTAAAAAATCAAGTTTAAACTAATGGTTGTTTCATTTCATTTTTTTAGATCTTTCTATATGAAGTTAGTATATTTTAAGGTTTTTATACTTTAACTTTTTTAGGTTACTTTGCCATGATTTAATTAATACTAGTTTTTTTTTTCTTAGCTTTTAATGGTTATGTTATTTTCTCTCTAATTAACCTAAGTTTGGCCGGTAACCGTCTTTAACGGATCTTAAAGTATGCCTTACCCCTTTTCTTTAGGATAATTAGAACCCTTACCTAGAATCTTAAGTTAGTAGACCATTTAATTGAAGTCATTTTAGTATTACTTAGTTAATAATTTAGGTATCCTAATTTACCTTAAAAATAATTAGGTGGCGACTTCTTAAGTTAATTAATTTGGAAATCACCAATATGTTGTACACTAATTTGACCTTGGTTAAAATGGGGTATAACAAAAATGTAGTTGGCACTCTTTACCTCAAGTTTTATATCGAACAAATCAATTAACACAAATAGTTTAGAAGTAGTAAGTTTTTTGAATCCTAGAAAATCGACAAGTCACACTGCTAATTTTTGGAATCCGAAATATCTATCCTAGTCACTATGGTCTATGAATATATTTGCCCAAATAAGGACATCTCCAACCCTAAACTCTATTTTTACTCTCCAACTATAGAGTTCTTTATTTTTTACAGACAATCAACTCCAATCCAGTTCTCTATTTTACTCTCAAAAAGAGAATATTTTTTCTCTCCTCAATATTGTATTATTATTTATATTTCTATTTCATTTTCTTATTTCATAATATAAATCCGCTCTTTTTTCTTTTTCAAAATAATCACTCTATATAATTTTCATGTAATATAAAATTATTACTTTTCAAAGAATTATTTAATATAAAATTATATTTTATTCTAAAATCTTAAAGAACAACTACAAATAATTGAAAAAAAGAAATCAACAAGTACAACCGCAATCACAAGCACAATAATTCTCTAGATTGTACACTATTTTTTCGAATATAGTTAAATCTAAAAACGACCTACCGAATTACTAAATTATTGTCGTAATTTTTAAAATTATTATGTTATGTATTGTATTGTTATCTTGTATTTAAATTATTATGTCATGTATTGTATTTTTAAATTGAAATTTTCATCTTATCATTTAAATTTTGTGCATTATTCATAGTGAAAATCAATAATACTATCAAATTATCTCTTAAAGTGACGAAAATTGAAAAACAAAGTATTTGAAATATTGCTAATTCGGAATGAAAGTAGTATATATTAAATAATATATTTTTTTAAAATATTGTATTACATTTAAAAAGAATTATGAATATTAGAAATTTAATTAATAGTCTTATATGAAAAATAATATGCTAGTTAGAAATAATAGAAATAATATTAAATTAATGAAAAAGT